AGCATTATTCTCTCTCCCCAGTTTCTGTTCTCCTAAGCTGCCCAGCGGGCTCAAGTCAACACCGTCATTTCTGGCACCACAGCAGTCTTGGTTTGTAAGAATTTCTTAGAGGGAAACAGAAATCCACTTATCTAAAGAGCTACCAGGTGAAAAAACTACATGGGAAAACTGCTTCTTAAACCATATAAACCAATGGTTTTCAACATCTTTTGATTTGTGGATCTTTATTGCATTTTCTAGTGAAGAGGCAGACTCTTATACAGCAAATTTAAGGCTGTGACCTGCCTCCTCTGCGTTACCATTCAGAGACCTAAGGGGCAATCTTCTGACCCCTGAGGTTTGAAACCACAGTTATTATACTTTGAAAGGGTCAAGTTTTACTTCTCATATCCCTGTGAAGAGGGAGCAAGTCCTCCCAGAAGATTTCTCTCTTCCTGCAGGATGCTGCAGGGCTGTCTATAAAGTGGGTGCTGCCCTGCAAGGAGAGTGGCACTGGACCAAAGGAAAAAAAAGTCATCATACAGCCAGAGGTGTGTGATGTGAGCACACAGTGCAAGGCTGCGGAAGTCCCCCATGTCCTCCTGTATCAGCCTTTGCTTTTATCCTTAAGAAAAGTTCGAGTTTTGCAAAAAACAAAACCTAAACCGAAAGAAAACTCAGAATACAATGTTTCCTCTTAAAAAACAAAACAAAACAATAAAAAAGAAAGGTTTTACATACATTATTGGAGGGCTTTGTTTCTTCGCTGAGAATTGTTAAGACAAATTTTCCATTAAAAATATTTTAGTAATTTCTCACCTTAAAACATATGTGTGGAAGAAAAAAGTTATCTATCCAAAAAGAATTAAAAGCTGCCAAAAATAAAAGCAACTTCAGAAAAAAGATAGTAAAATAAAATTCATCCTGACCGTAAATTTCCCAAAGATTATGAATTTACTGCTTTGTATGGCAAAGCTAGAGCTAAGCAGTAAAACAAGTGGAAGCATGGAACCGAGCAATTATTGTAATATATATTTTCTTACGGCTAAAGCAATATTTTTGCAGCTAATAGCTTGTTAAAAAAAAAAAAATCTAGAAACTATCTTTTTATGTTTCCAAAAGAATACTCTCTAAAAACCAAGTTAAATATTTCATGACAGTTCTGTAATACTTCTAACTGCATTGCTCAATATAAAAGTCATAATTCAAACATGTACATAGAAAAATTAGAAAGCAATTGCTTTAATTCTAACCATTTGTGTTAAAAATGGCAATCTTAATGGTAATCTTAACTGTCAAAACAGTTGATAAAACTAGAGATTTGAAGAGAAATTTGCTAAATGTTTGTTATTTTTGGCATAGAAAGAGTTATTAGAACCACTGCACTAAACAAATTGTATTTCATCGAACAAATATAGTGTTACATGCTCAAGTGAATGAACTGTGGTTGTTTAGTCTGGATGGGAGAGAACTGTGGGGGAGAAGACATGATAATAGCCTTTAAACATAGAAAATGCAGCTGTGAAGAAGCACGGGTAATCAGTTTTCAGTGTCCATGGTGGGTAGGTGGAGAAGGATGATGATTATGAGGAGGGGCTTCCCAGCAGTTAGGGCAGCAAAGTGTTGAGAGAATTGGCTACAGAAGAGCACAGGGTGTCCATCACCAGATATTTTTAAGAATAAACATCTGTTGGGCAAGAAAGAGGAAAGGTTAACACAGCCTTAGGACAACAAGATGTGGTTTTCAGTGGTTTCAGATGTGAGGATCCCCACACAAGTTCTAGAGAAGATGGAGACTCAGAGATGCCCCGTGGGCCCAGGCTGCTGTACGACATTTTTGACCTTTCTTTGATGAATAATTTTTGTTGGCCCATTGGAAATCAGCCTTGTTCCCATGACTGTGATGCTTCCCACACCATTCCCACCTCCGCCTACTGCTGTCACAGCCCCGTCACCCTGCTTGCAGACACACACCACCGGCTGTGCCATCCCTGCTGCTGGCCGGCTCTTCACCTCCTGCCTCCTCTGCAAAGTCAGCATGGGAAACCATCACCTTCTCAAAGACTAGTGTTTGCCAACCCCCAGACACAATAATAGGCTATTAAATGATGTGAAAATCACACCAAATATCCCCTAGCCCAGCTCAATGCCACTGCAGTTCAGCAAGCTGGGCGTAGACAACGCCTTTCTGCAGGTAAGAGGTGGTGACCTTCAGGGATGGGACTCTGCTCCTATCCTGCTGTGTCCCCACAGGTAGCCCTGAAATCCTTCTGTGCTGGTGTGATGAGGATGTGGTCCTGAATCAGTTTGCACTCTTTTGGCTCATTTTTAGCCCAGGTGGCTGAAGGGATGCTCGTGTGAGCAGGTCCACCAGCAGGTTTGGGTGGGCTCCTCAGGCCCCAGCAAACAGGACTGATAATACCAGCTAAGGTGATGTGTCCCAGCATCAAAGGAGGATGTGTGACAACCCCTCCAAGAACAACTCAGCATCTCCCACTGCAGAGGAGCCCATTTGGAGACCAGCAGGCTGCAAACCCCTCCAGCTTACTTCACGCCCCATCCTGCAAACATTTAAGCTCAACAGATGTGCAGGGCTAGGACCTCACGGTCCCCTCTGCTGCCTGGTAAGAGCCCAGGGTTGTCTTCAGCACCATAAATTGGTGCTCTGAGGCAGCGTGGCCAATTCCACACACCGCACACAGGCATCACCACAGAAAAACACGACCTATGGCTGGCTGGCTCCTGAGCACACACCAAGCCCCGAGGGAAGGTCTTCTGCTTCCACTCAGAGCCTCGGCCACAGCCCAGATAACATGCTGCAATTGGGAAGTCTTTGAGGCAAAACACTACATCCTTCCCACAGTAAAGTTCATGAAACGTTGGTGCTTTTTCTCTGCAGCCAGTACAAAAAAAAAGATGTAAAAGCTCCATGTGTTTATGGGCGTATTTTAGTGAGGAACTGTTATTTGAAAACCTCTTCCCAAATCCAGTTGCAGCAAAGGACTGCTGAGTTGCAGAGTGCTTGGCTCTTACCAAGGCTTTAGAAGGTAACTTCCTTTCATGACTTTGGAAAAATCACCCCTGCAGGGCAGTAGCCGCCTTCCAAAATGCTCTTGTAGAAGCTGCTTTTCAGCAGCCTCTAGCAGGGAGTGTTTTCTTTAGGTTTCAGGCCCTGTCATGACTGCACGTCCAACTGACACACCCACACGGCTTACCAGGGCCACATGTGCTAATGAAGATTTCCAAATCTTCATTAGTCAATGTCAACTGCAAGCTTCAAGCCTGAGCTGTAAAGACTGTAAATAAGCAGGCTGATGGCCAGAGAGGCTTAGCAGCTCTTTGATGAGACATCCAAAATCGTTGGAGAGAGATCTGTACCACACCCTGGCTGTGAACACGGATATCACAGATCTCAGCTAGCAATAAATTAGCAGTTCAATAAAGAAAGCTCCAATTAAAATAGGGGCAACCAAAATTAGACCCTTTGCTGCTGCAGCAGTAAGGTGAAAACAAGGATGATGGGTTTCTGCTAGTGGCCAAAGTAAAAGTGATGGTGGAAAATCCTTGTTTTGGAGCCAAGCTGAAGAGGAAGGACTTAATACAATCAGAAAAACTCATTTCATTTTTGGTCAAACAAAAACATTTTGCTCAACCGTCAACAAAATGTTCTGGTTTGCTTGGAGACTATTTAATCTTAACAAAAAATAAAGTAAAACTATGCCCCGCAACTTTTCCTTCTTTTAAATTTGGGTCCATTGGAAAATGAAAAAAGCTTCAAACTCAACAATTGTCACTAAAAAAAGCTCCTTCAGCCTGAAAATGCTGAAGTGAAACTTTTCAATAGTTAAGAAAAGAAGGACTTCTATTGTTTTGCCTTATCATCGACTGACTTCAGCCCAGAGTTGAGTTATTCTGGTTGCCTTCCTCTCCTCAGGAGACTTCATTTTTAAACTAATATAGCAATCTCTGGCAATTCAGTTTGGGATATAAGTGATAGGGCTCAGTAAAGCCCATAAGTACACGGGCGAGCTGACAATTTGCACAAATATCAGACAAAATGGACTTTCTTTTTTGCATTTAGGTTTTCTTTGAAATTGTACCTGAATTTCAGAGGACCGGTGGGGTCCTCAGGACCAGCGACCCCTCAAACACACACAGAGCAAAACCCTCCAAGCCCGCATGCTCTGCCATGTAACCTGTGCACCACAAAAATTCAGATGCCATCTTCAGTCCTGCAAAATATTAAGGCAGGCATTTAAGATTTACCCAAGTGATTAAGCATGAGCAGCTTGTAATTGTTTCCAGATTCCTCTCCTAGCAGGAGAAAAGGCTCCACAATTCCTGTCCACGTGCTCAGTGTAGCAATGCGCTCCCAAAGAGAGACTGGAGATGAGCTGAAGAGGACAGACAGATATTGCAGCTGAGAACAAGCCAGCATTACCTTTTAATCCAGCGTGGACTGATCAGCTTGGAAAAGCAGGATTATTTAGCCAGCACGCATCAGGGTACGTCTGCATCATCCCTGCAGCAACACCTGTGCACCAGCACCTAGAAACCCTCTTAAGTACACGTGGTGAGATTGTCCGCAATTTTTCATCTGGCTTGGGAGTGTTAAATGAAGATCAACTGCTGGAACCAGCCTCGTTTGGGGGCAGCTGAATTTGTCTGTGCTTACAGAGGGGACCTTTGTCCTCCAGGCTTTATATAAAGCCCCAAAGATTGCAGGCTTTCTGTATGCGCCGCAAAGCAATCCAGCGAGCATCTGGAGAGACTCGCCTCACGTCCCAAACTGTTCCCTTCATGCAAATCTAGCCACGTATGTTTCCCACAGACTGCTTGGTCATGAAAAGAGATCTTCCAAGACTCACTCAGGGTTTCAAACCCCTTTGCAGGCCCAGCCCAAGGCTGAAAGCAAGCTCCAGGCTTCACCCCTGCCTTTGAACCCAGCAGGGATCTGCTCCAGCAGGTTAGCTCTCGGGGGCCACATCGCTCCCAAGATTTAAGCCAGACCACATGTGAAATGGCAACTACCTCTTAATTTTTATTATTATTTTTAAACAGAATAGTTTAGGGGCTATGGCTTTTTATTATTACTATTTTAATGGCGAATTCATTGTGCTGCCTTCTCCCCTTAATGAAGGGAACTGAGGACTCAGCAGCGCTCAAGCAGCTTCTTCTGCTTTCTAGAAGCAGTCCCTACAAGCCTTTTACAAAAAACTAACCACAACCTTGCTTTCCCCTTCCCCATCCCTCCAGAGAGAAAGGGGCTTTCAACAGCTTGGGCCATTTTTCTTCTGCTGACTCTACCTTAACCTTCTCTCCAGGGTTACATTTATTTTCCAAGCCTGCAGCCAAGACAATGACCTGTGGCTTTGTCTCGCAAGGGTCACTGTCCCCCTGCAAGAGGCACGAGCCTTGGGGTGGGCTGGCCATAACCCCTGCCCACTAACAGCCCAGTATGGCCCAGTACAGCCAGCCAGCAGCCGCCTGGAGAGCATATCCATAGCCAGGATGACTCCTGCACTTGGACTCTGCAAAACAATCTTCTCTCCCTTCTGCAGCCCCAGCCATCGCATGCACATCTGGTTATTCCTCTGAACCTCTCCGCATTCGTTGCTTCATCGCTGTTCAGCTCCAGGCTGGAAATATATCTGCTCTCCCCTCTCCTGGGGCTTCATCCGTCTCCTCCTCCTCTCGCTGAATTCACGGGGTGGTGGCTCGTGCCATCCCTTCTTGTGCAAAAAGGGAAGGGTCTCGTTCCAGGATGGAAATTTGGGCGAGTTCCTCAAGGAGATTATCTCAGACATCTAGAGAGAGAGGTTCACCACCCTCTGTGGAAACTCGCAAGGTCTGGGCTTCCTCCAGATGTGATTTGATTTTTAAATTTGAGCAAAAGCACTTCAGCCTTTACAACGTGAGAGAGGAGTGAAAAAATACATTGCTGCCATTAGAGGAGAGGGGGAGAAAAGCCGACCGGGCTCTCTTTGAAGAGCCTTGGTGCCAAAACAAATGGGAATCTCTTAGATCAGATGGATTTTCTAGCAAAAACAGCCTTTGCTTGCTTCAGCTGACATGGGTGAGGGTAGGCATTTGTCTCCTGAGCCTGGCTGCCCAGGTAGAGAACACAGAGTACACAGAAGCACACATATGTGCCTTCGGTGGCTGTTACCCATACGGTTTTTACATACCAGGGGGCAATAGGAGCTCCTCCTTCAAAGCACACAGCCTCGAGATGATGTCCTGTACAGAAGCAGATTTGTTGCCCCTATAGGCAGAGTTTCGGACTCACGCAATCACCCCGATTTACTGCTATTCTCCCCAGACCATCATCTGCATCCCCTCTGCAGGCTGGGCTGGGCCTGCTGCCTCCAAGCAGCATCTCCCTTGGGGAAACACCACCAGCTTGTCCACGTCAGGGGAACGAGGGGCTTGGGACCAGGGCGGATTTGCCCCTCATCGCTATTTCACAGCCCCCCTCCCGAGGCTGTCGCAGCGTGGAAGCCATTAGCATTTAAAAATACTTGCAGGAATGGGAGGGGAGAGGGAAAAAATGGTATTTGCTGAGGCCCATTCCTCAGCACACTTTCATGTGTGCCAAAGTTTGTTGGCATGGCTCTGTGTTTGATAGGGAACATCTGGGCTGCTGTTGCTGCCTGGATGCTGGCTGAGGGCAGCGAACAAAAGGGGTTTGTGCAGGAATGCGCGGGGAGGGGGGCGGCTCGGAGGCAAAAGGCAGAAATACTCAGTGGAGAAAGCTTAATGCACATCCCTGCTTTTTTTCCGAGGGGAGAGGAGCCTCCCCGCTTCCTTCCTCCCCGCCCCAGAGCGTGCAACAGCAGCAAACAGGACTCGAGCTCTGATCAATGCCCCGCTACCTCCGCGGTCTGGAGAAGCCAGAGGATGCACCCAGAGCATGCTGAGGCCGGTGATATTGGGCCATTACCTCCATAAGCAGCACCCGTTGGTGTTTCTTCCACTCCTGAGGGGAATCTGGGGTAGGACTCAAAGTCTCACAGCCCTTAGCTCCAGCAGACCTGTACCAAGGAGCACGTGGAGCCCATGGACACACCACCCGTCCCATAACGTGCCCTCCCCAAGTAATTACTGCCACCCATGGACATCCTGACAAACCTCAGGACATCCCTGATCAAACCCCATGTGATGTTTCTGACCTTTTACAGCTCCTCTTTTCCGCCGTCTCAGGCCTGCAGTATTTTCACAGACTGGAAACAAAAGCATTGATGCCATTCCCTACATGATGATCCCTCTTCGCTCATCCCATTTTTGCCCAGTGAACACCTGCTGATGGGGAGGGGTTTGGAGGCACCTCCAAGAATCCTTTCTTTATCAGCAGAGCATTTCTGTTCTCTCCTCTCCAGGGCATACGTTTGGCCAGGAGCCCACCCAGCAGCCTACATCCCCCCTCAGCTCCAGACCTGAGCAGGGACCTGCATCAGGACTGCCACCCAGAGCCAGATTCCCATTCCCTCCACGTTTGGGGCTCCTCCAAGTTGTCAGAGCCACCCCAGAGAGGGCATGGCAAGAAGGATGCTGAATTTTGGCAGTACCCAAGTAGAGCTGGTCCCAGGCTGCTTACCAGCTCAACACATTTGCCTAAATTTGTCCCTGGGACAACTAAAGAGTCCAGTAAGGGCTCAGGGTGGTCCATTTGCCCCATGGCCACAGCTTGCCCATGGCCCAATGCGAGCCAGCAGAGAAATTGCTGGTGGGAAAACATCCACGGAACTTCCTGCAGGCGAGGGGAGCTGCAGCATTTGTTTCATCTTGGAAAAAAAAATTGGTGTGCCTTTTCAAATTGTCCGAGCATTTGGCTTCTGCATTTCCTTCAGTGACACATCCCAGGGTTTTTAGTTGAAAAGGTCTTTTCTCCAATGGATTAGGCTGCTTGTAGAAAAAAAATAATAATCAAAACAGGAAGCTTAAAATTATCAAGAAAAATATTTTCATTGACCTAAGAAGATCTTACCCTGAAGTTTTCTGGTTCTCAAAATTTTTCAGGACTGACTCTTCATCCCCATGAGAGAAGAGAAATACTGCCAGTGCCTCCAAAGCACTTGCAGAAGGAAAAAAAAAATATTACCAACATTTTTTTTTTTTAAACCTGAGACCAAGAGTCATGTCTCATGGGTGACAAGTGAACCCCCGTGAGGCTCAGCCATTGGGTTCCTGGATGTTTTTAAGCCAGAGAGGATTTTCAGGGGTGGGACAAGCCCCAGGCACTCTGCTAACAGAGAATAGGAGATGCTGGAGGTAGAGATGCTGTCAGCTCATGCCTTCAGACTGTCCTATCGATTTCTGCAGCCAGGTTCAGGTATCACATGCTTCTGCCGTCCATTTATTCAGATGGAAACAGTTACCTCCCCCTCATCCATCTATTTAGAAATTGTTACCTTCCCCCCCCACCCATCCTACCACCGAAAATCAGGTGTTTATTTTTCCTCCCCCTCAGTTCCAGAACCCAGAAAGGACGAGGTGGATTTTGCTCAAAGTTTCCAAGAAGTTCACAACTAGGCGAGGACCAGGCATGCAAAAAATTTCGACCTGAGACACGAATGTTTTCAGAAGTTATTAGCTTATGAAAAGGGTTATAATGGAAACTGTTTTACTGCCATAATTTTAACACTGTGAACAGAGCCTGCTGCAATATATAACATTATCAAGCGCCTGTCAGCATTTAATAGAAGTCTTAATTAACTGCTGTGGAAGAACATGGCAAAAATTTATTTTCAGGAAAACTTTTGGGAGTCACATAATACTGGGCTTTCTCAAATCCCCCTCTCTACGAGCCTTAATAAAGTTCATAGGATAGACTAAATACAAGACAAGCGTGTATCTTGTTGGCACTACTTAGTGATAGGATTTTCTTTTCTGTTAAACTACATAATCCAGAAACAACAACAATGTTTGCATTGGGGCTGAGCCAGACGCTTTGGATCTGGATTTAACCTTCCTGAGGGCTGGGTTGCTCTGAGCCAGGGGCTCGATTCGGCTGGCAGGACCCTGACCTGCTTCACTCTCCTCCCACTCCCCCCAAGCCAAAGATGCTCGGATCTGGGGGGTCCCCACCTGGTGGCATCCCCATCTCCTGGTGCTACATGCTCCCAAATTAACATAGCCAAAGAAACCTGGCACTCACCAACCAAGCAGCCAAGCCCAGCTCTCCCCACTCTTCCAGCCCCGTGCCCAAATCTTGTTTTCATTCCCTCCCCGGCCCCTGCAGCCCTGGCTGTGCGAGCTGGCAGGCCACTTCCATCTCCCCCGATAGCCCAACAGCTGCTCTGTGTCCCTTTGGAGATTAGTTTGTTTTCCTAACGCAATTACCGCCACGTGGCCCTGCTTTCTGTGGGGATCAAGCCTGGATAGAGATAAAGCAGCGATAAGATCGCCCGCTGCTCCGAACCGCGCCGCCACAGGGACGCAGGCGCAGCTCGTCCCACGTGTCCCCTCTCCCCTGGGTGCCACCAGCTCCTCCAGACCCCAGGGATTCATTTCCCGGCTTCCTTCGCCACACCGAGGAATCATTTTGGGATGGATCCATGTGAAACAGAGCCATTGCATGGGTGAGATTTCATACGAAGCCAAGCCCACCTGCCTGCACCAAGAGCTCAGCTCCGACAGCGCCCACACTCCCCAAAGAGGCTGGTTAACGCCATCCCCTGATGCCGAGCATCCTGGCAGGGCATCACACCAGTCCTCACCCCATAAAGCAGTCAAAGGTCTACCCCAAACGTTCTCCATCACCTCCACAAGTCCCCTCGTTGTCCCAGACCCACGTGCGGGGAGCCGCCGGGGCACGCCGGGAGAGGACACTCGTGGAGCCGAGCTGCCTTCAGAGAGACGAGCATCCTTGCCAGATGTCTCCCATAAAGCTGCAAGTACTTTATTTTAATAATAAGCCTTAATGTATTCATTAAAGGCTCCCAGTGACCTGGGATGAATTTCCCCGCTATTGTAAAGGGCTGTGGGAATCTGGAAACCGCTGCATTACAGTTAATAACTTTAATTTTACAAGGCCCAAAATAGACAACTGAAAAAATACACAAACTCACTGTTTCCAATTAAGAAGGGATTTCTTCTAATTCCTCTGCCACCGGCGCTCTTGTTTAGCAAACAAGATCAGCCGACATTCAACCGTAGACGAGAGGAAAGCAAGCCCAGAGTCTCCTTCAGCATCAAGAGGCGAGGAAGAGGATGGGAGCCTTCCTCTTCACCACGCACAGAGCCTGGTCAGGAACACCAAACCCAAACCAGGGGAGCTGTGGATGAATCTTAATGCCTACATAGCCCTGATGGGGAGCTTGAACACAGGAGATGGTTTCCAACCCATCTTCTCCCTGCTCCCACGCAGGAGCCCCAGGGCGCTGTGAAGCCACCCCAGCATCTGGCCGAGCACCCCGCTGACCTTTGGGGTTAGGCACAGCTCAGATCTTGGGGTCAGGAAGGAATATTCCTCCCAGATCAGTTTGGCATTGATTGCTGTGGATTTATCTTGCCTATTTCTTCCTCTGGAGAAAGAGGGGCAGTTTGGTTCCCAGGGAAAAAAAAGATGGGAATGGAAAACAAAACTGTTTTGCCTGATTTTTGTTTAGTTTCTGTGAATCTATTGTTCCCTGGCCCAAAACCTTTTAATCTCCAGCTAGGTTTTATTTTTGCTTTCCAGCTAAAACCCAACTTCTTCAAGAAGACAACACTCTACATGAAGATTCACTTCACACACCTCAACCATTCTGGGGAGGAAAAGGGGAATTTCGGAGCAAGTTGGAGCCGCTGTAGCAGCCTGGCTGCGGACAGCACGGTGCTGGTGGCCAACATCCCTGGCTGTGACACATCAGCATCCTCCCTCCGCAGGCACGAGGCGCACGTGTGCGCTCCAAGGGGAGGCGACATCGCAGCCGTCCAGCCCCGGGACCCCGCTCGCTGCTGCTGCCGTCGCCCACGAGCCGCTCTCAGCGGCGCTGAGCTCGCGCCAGCCCTCGCACAGCAGCGCATTGATTTCCCCAGCCGAACTGATAAAAGTGAAAAATGATTTTCATATGCCTCCGCTCCGTATTCGCCCATAAATAAGGCAGCCATGGAAGCTGGGGGAAGGGGGTGTCGGGGCGGTACGTCATCTGTCAAAGCCACACCAAGAGCATTGCTCCAGCCCCGGCTCAGGGAAGCATCTCTATTGACAGCAGGCAGGCACACCTCTAGTTTTCTTTAAATCCACTGGAAACGGAGCTTTTGCTTCTTGGCCATATAAAAATAACCTAAAGGTACAGAACAAGCCCTAGACACCAGCTGATAAAACTCTTGTATTTGTGCCCAAGATATTTGGGCACGCAAGTGCTTGAATGCGAAGAAACATGCTCATCGAGCATCCTCCCCCAGCCTCTCTCCTCAATTCTGCCCAGAGATACTCGACCTGATGTGCCTAAAGCAGATAGGAGCTGAACCTACAGTGCCAACAAAACCCCAAGCAGCGCCCAGCCTCCCAGCAAACACTGCCCAGCTCCACGACGGAGTCAGCTGCCAGCTTGCTCACATCAGTGCCCTGCCTGCTGGTGGAAAAAACCTCCATCCAAGCAGTTTTTAGCAGATCATTTTTCAGTCAAAGGCAACTTTTAAAAATAAATTGAAAAAGAAAAACAGAAAACCTATTCTATGGAAATTTGCCTGGCTTGTCTGAAATACCAAAAGCTTCGAAAAACCCTCAAGTTTTGGCCTCGCGATGCAATAATCTTTACTTTAACCGAAAAATGTGATTTTTCAGGTTTAAACACAGATTAAAGAAAACATTCAGAGCAAATAAATCCTCTTGCTCCCATTAAAAGCATCCAAGGGGCAATGGCTGTGTTCAGATCTCCAAAAACCCATCCATCCCTGGAGACCACGAGGGAAATCGAGCAGATGGGAGAAGTGGCAGGGGCTGTAACCTGCCTAAGGAGCATCCCCGGCCCCTTTCCAGGTTTAATATTTCTGGAGGTGCCCAGGGATGCTGCCTGCTCTGCCCGGCAGCACCCGGGTGGGTGAGGAGTGAGCGCGGCTGCTGCTTCCCCATCTGGAGCCCATGTATGGCGAGTGGCAAGATTTATATCGTGCTGAAGCATTCCACAGTTTTGAGCACAGAAATGATTGAACTCCAGATGTTAACAAGATGCAGGACCCTTTTTTTATTATTAAAAACGTGATTTCTTGTTTTGCTCATGACAAAACCCATCAGATTAACTTATTAGGAACGGAACTGCCGTGGGCCCGGCTGGAAGCGAGGACAGCTCTGGCTGCCCATGAGCACGTGGCGAGAGATCGGGGCTGCCCCAGGGCACAGCCACCTCCAGGCACGACACGGGTGACACTGCCAGCGGTGTGGGGGATGGCAGTGAGCCCGCGTGCCTCGGTTTCCCCATTCACTAGTGGGGAATAGAGCCAGAGCTGGAAGGGAAAGCCCTGAACCTTCTCAGATCGATCAAAACCTACAACAAAAGTTCCTGCTCCTCCAGCAAATGAGCAGCACAGCCCACAGGAACATGCCCCTTGTCCTCCCAGCTCCTCCACCTCACCCGCAGGAGGTCAAAATGGATGCAGGACCCGTGGCTGCCAGGCTGGGACAGCTCATCATTCAGCTCCCAAGCCCTGACCCCCTTCAAACCCCCACCCCAAACGTCTCTTCCCACCAGAAGGGAACCAAATCCCCCGGTACCCCCGCGAGCCCACGCAGCGCCGCCGAGAGCACCCCCTGCACAGCCAACATCTGCAGCGCAGAGCGGGGCCTGCCGGGGGCCAGCCCGGAGCTGTCACATCTCCGTGTTATCACAGGAACTTTATCACATGCTCGTAGCACATGTGTCTTTGCACCAGGAGATCAAACAGGTAGGGGGTGGCACCGCAGCCCGCTGTCACCGGGCGCTGCCCCACGCTGGGAGCCGGCGCGCAGCAGGGCCCCACATCCCCACAGGCCTCCCCACATCCTCCCCGGGGATGGAGCAGGAGAGGAGGGCTGCGAGGTGTCAGGACTCTGCCAGCAGCCCCAAAATAAACCCGTCAGCTCCCTCGGTCCCCAACCAGAAAGAGATT